AGTATTATTTCTTGCAATAAGAAAATGAGATGTAATGAACAGGAAAATGTTCCTAAAAACAATATTCAGGGCATAGTACTTTTAGGAGAGAATGAATTGTTTTTATTGTTAAAATAATTGTACAGTATTTTCATATTCTCATAATATATCATTACATTTAAATACATCGACAGATTTAAAAATCTTATAGAAGACAACTTTAAAAACTATTTAGAAAAAAACTATAAAAATTAAACATTTAAAATTTAATAGTCTGATCTGCTATTAATAAACAAACACTTCAAAAACAAGTGTTCAAACTCCTGTATTTTACTCCAGATGACTGAAGTTTTGCTAATTACACAAAAACATTAGCACAGTTGGTTCTGTTTATTAGGCCTACTTCAATTATATTAATTTAAATAAAATATAACAAAATGAATTAAAATTGAGCAAGAAAACTTATAATAAATAGTACAATAAAAATTAATAATACACCTTTACATGCAATCAATAAAACTTCATAGAGTAAATATATATACTTTTCACAAAATAAAAATGGCAAGAATCTTCAATTATTTGACTTTCAATTAACTTATTTGCTCTTCAAACTAACTAAAGAAATCAATGCACAAAACAAATATTAGAAAATACAAGATCAAGTTACAGGTGTTCACTGGACTATTTCCACTACCAGCAACAAATAAATCAACCAGTAACACACAAACAATTGTGTCCACCTTCTCATATTTAACTTTTACATAAATTTATCTAGTATCTATTAATGTTATATACAGAATTATATTTACAGAGTGATAACACATACATAACTATGCCCAAACTAGTCTAAACACCACACATTAAAATTTACTATTAACAAAAACTTCCAATATGTGTCAATATTTAATCTTAACTAAAAATGTTAATGTATAAAGTCAAAGCTTAAAAACTTATACTAATAATAATCAAAACAAAATGACATGCATCATATACATATATATATATAAATCAAGCATCATCTATCTATACAGTTGCCACCATCTGTCTTTCTTTGTAAAGTTTTCTGTAAAAGCTGAAATGGTTTCAGAAATTATACTAAATGCAAAAATAGAAATTAAACTATTTGAATAAGAGCATTGCACTAGGAAAACTAAGGTTCACTTTTTTCTACTAACAATGAGCAGGGATGAGAAAAAATTGGTTTAGTATTGCTAACTCTGAGTGCTGTCAAGTTGGCAATTAACTTCATTCAAAACATACCCACATTAACAGAAACCCACACTGATTGAAATCATATATATCAAAGATTACCTGTACATGAATGTCAGAAAGCATAAAAAGAGAGCATTAAAAGTTATATATTTATTTAAAAACAAATATTTTAAAATTTCTTAAATATTACCAATAAGTTTACAATACTAAATAAATTTAATTCAATATACATAAAATATTATTTTAAAATTATATGTACTTATGAATGTTGAATAAAATAAAATTACATAGTAACATTTGTGAACAAAATTTTCTTATAAGTGACTTAATAATCATCATGAATATGTTTTAGCAGCAAAGAAATTAACTGATATTTAATTAATGCAGACATTTTCAATCATCTTCACAGGCAACCAAAAATTGAACACAGTTGAATAGAACATATAAAATAACAAAAGAAATTAAAACATCTTACTGATTCAGATATATCCAACTAGCACAATCCATCCAAATCTACAGGCACATCTTAAGACTCACATATCTATGGACATTTTTTTCTGTCTCTAATGTCCAGAAATGGGAACTGAGCTCTAAAGCTAAAGTATAAAAATCTGGATCTGTTATTTATGTGCATCCAATTTTAATGATGAATAAAATAATCAATGCATTCTATTGATTAATTCAATACCAATCTGCAACAGTGAATGCAGAACAATATTGTCAAATATTGGACAAGTTATGAAGAACTGCCAGCCAAAAGAAATGATTAAACCTACCATATATAGGTATTATATTGTATGATATGTAAAAAACCCAATGCAGCACGAAACACTATACAATGGTTTCAATAATGTGACTGAGAAGTTCTAGAACATACTCATGCACTCTTAATCTTGTTTCAAATAGTTTTAATCTGTTTGATCCTTTAAAGCACCACCTTGCTGGATCAATTTTCAGACAAATGACTTAATCAAATAAGTTGTTACCATATTGTTCCATAGAATGACCTCAATTTCTACAATAGAATATATGTCTTATCATGCTGTGACTGGTACTTCAACAGTGATAACTTTGTGAGACATCAGTGATGCCCCTTAGTTAATACCAATTTGGAAATAAACTTTCTGTTCTTTGTCAACTCTTATTTATCAGACAAACCAAATAAAATAATTTATTTCCTACTGTTAAAATTTTATAGTCTATCAAAATTGTATATTAAGAATAACTCTAGTGTTATACAGTATTATAAACTTAATATAACAATGAATAAACTAAAAAATTATCATCAAAATTTAAATATAAAATAGAGAAAATACAATTAACAATATAATAAACTCATCTAAAACAAACAATTTCAAATTATCAATTAATTTGATAAATTAACCTGTTTTTAATTACTCTAATATCCATATTTTTATTTTTCTCCATTTCTCATTTAATTCTGGCCATTATTTAACATCATACGAATTTTATGATTCTATGTAAACGTTTTAAAATTACTAATAATTTAACTGAATATACTTTTAAAACTTTTGATAAATAATAAGCTTTGTATTATAAAATATATTGGACAGAAACAAAAACCTGATTTTTCTAATAACCAAATAGCTTCAAATCAGCTTGTCTTCAGGATATAATTAAGCTACTTATATAATCAAGAAATTTTGGCTAAAGATGAGCAGTTAAGCTGCCACATTGCACTAAAATTAATATACATAATAAGGATACATGTTTCAATATTAGCACCAGCAATAAATCCAGATGCATCAAAATTGATTCTGATGAATTTACCCTGAAATTGTATATAAATAATAATGAAAAATCAAATATATTTGATTTTATGTTTTTTTCAGAATTATCATCATCTAGAAACACATTCATAATAGAATTTTAATAGAAAAATATAAAACTTACAAATCTTGAGGAATTGTCATTTTTAACAGTCTTTGCATTACCAAATGCTTCAAGTATAGGATTGGCTTGAAGTAATTGTTGTTCTAATTCTCTCTGCGATGATGATAATCCATATAAATATTTAATTTTAAACTAATATTTAACATTAAAAAAGTATAAGGCAAATGTTTAATACAGGTAACACTTGATATAAACAGTTAAACGGTGCCACAAGTATACCACATGTATTGAAGTTAACAATCAATGAGAAATAAATTTATTCGTGAATTAGGTTATTAAGAAGTCAACTGAAATCATATTTTTTTTATTTATATTCACTTGAATGGAATAAAATCATAGAAAATGAAGAAACAAGTTTAATAAAGCATTTATTGAAGAATTACTAATTAATTATTTTAGAGTATAATTGCTCACATAAATATAAAAAACCAGAAAATATTAAAGATCAATTATTGAAAATTTAGACTAACCAGTAAATTAAAATTTTATAATTTTATATATATATATGTTACCGGCCAAATTAGTTTGTCCTAGGCCAAACAGGTTTATCCTACGCGTGCAATCCTACGATAGATACAATAATAACAAAATTTTTGTGGGTGGAATGATAGACTTCACAGTTGGACTCGTATCTCTTTCCTCATATCTCCTTCCTATTGAGCGGAGAACACTTCTAGCACGAGCAGAAAATTGCTGGATACTTGACTCATCAGAAATTAATACTGGACTCCACTTCGGTCCGAAATAGTGTGCTCGGAAAGTTAAGTTCCTCACTCTTGCCGCACTCGTTCAAGTTTTGAGTTTTCTCCTCCATAATCCTGGTTAGAATCTTATGAACAGACTAACTTGCTCCTGATCTTCCACTCACACCCTCTCTGTGTCCTTGGGATTTCGGGCTTTTATAACCTTTTTCCTCCCGAAATCCCGAGGTTTTGNGCGCCCCTATCGTGTGTCATATTTCAAACATTCAAATTAACAATTTTAATTCTTATTTAAATTAACAATATGAATTATTATTATTCATTTGGCCCATAAATTATTATTTGGTCAATATAACAATATAAATAATTCAGTATATTTGTAATAGGAATTTATTATTTCAGGGGCTTATATCTCGCGAAGGATCGCGAGTAGGGGTATGGTTCCTTTGATTTTATTGTTCGCACAGGGGCTACAGTTTGGGGGGGTCGCCACCTCTTCATTCGGAGGGTAAATCTTACCATTGGGACTTTAACAGAGCTGTACAGCATATTGATAGGAACAAAAAAGTCAAAGGAACCGTGCCTCATGGAAATTTGTAAAGAACGCCCAGTAGGGGGCGTCCCGGGTCACTAGTAGAATATATGTCATATCATGCTGTGACTGATACTTCAACAGTGATAACTTTGAGAGACATCACTGATACCCCACTGATACCAATTTGGAAATAAACTTTCTGTTCTTTGTCAACTCTTATTTATCAGACAAACCAAATAAAATAATTTATTTCCTACTGTTAAAATTTTATAGTCTATCAAAATTGTATATTAAGAATAACTCTAGTGTTATACAGTATTATAAACTTAATATAACAATGAATAAACTAAAAAATTATCATCAAAATTTAAATATAAAATAGAGAAAATACAATTAACAATATAATAAACTCATCTAAAACAAACAATTTCAAATTATCAATTAATTTGATAAATTAACCTGTTTTTAATTACTCTAATATCCATATTTTTATTTTTCTCCATTTCTCATTTAATTCTGGCCATTATTTAACATCATGCGAATTTTATGATTCTATGTAAACGTTTTAAAATTACTAATAATTTAACTGAATATACTTTTAAAACTTTTGATAAATAATAAGCTTTGTATTATAAAATATATTGGACAGAAACAAAAACCTGATTTTTCTAATAACCAAATAGCTTCAAATCAGCTTGTCTTCAGGATATAATTAAGCTACTTATATAATGAAGAAATTTTGGCTAAAGATGAGCAGTTAAGCTGCCACATTGCACTAAAATTAATATAATAAGGATACATGTTTCAATATTAGCACCAGCAATAAATCCAGATGCATCAAAATTGATTCTGATGAATTTACCCTGAAATTGTATATAAATAATAATGAAAAATCAAATATATTTGATTTTATGTTTTTTTCAGAATTATCATCATCTAGAAACACATTCATAATAGAATTTTAATAGAAAAATATAAAACTTACAAATCTTGAGGAATTGTCATTTTTAACAGTCTTTGCATTACCAAATGCTTCAAGTATAGGATTGGCTTGAAGTAATTGTTGTTCTAATTCTCTCTGCGATGATGATAATCCATATAAATATTTAATTTTAAACTAACATTTAACATTAAAAAAGTATAAGGCAAATGTTTAATACAGGTAACCCTTGATATATGCAGTTAAGCGGTGCCACAAGTATACCACATGTATTGAAGTTAACAATCAATGAGAAATAAATTTATTCGTGAATTAGGTTATTAAGAAGTCATCTGAAATCATAATTTTTTTTATTTATATTCACTTAAATGAAATAAAATCATAGAAAATGAAGAAACAAGTTTAATAAAGCATTTATTGAAGAATTACTAATTAATTATTTTAGACAGAGTATAATGTAGTTGCACACAAAAATATAACAAATCAGAAAATATTAAAGAACAATTATCGAGAATTTAGTCTAAATTCTCAATAATTGTTCTTTAATATTTTCTGATTTGTTATATTTTTGTGTGCAACTACATTATACTATGTCTAAAATAATTATACATATATATATATAAATCAAGCATCATCTATCTATACAGTTGCCACCATCTGTCTTTCTTTGTAAAGTTTTCTGTAAAAGCTGAAATGGTTTCAGAAATTATACTAAATGCAAAAATAGAAATTAAACTATTTGAATAAGAGCATTGCACTAGGAAAACTAAGGTTCACTTTTTTCTACTAACAATGAGCAGGGATGAGAAAAAATTGGTTTAGTATTGCTAACTCTGAGTGCTGTCAAGTTGGCAATTAACTTCATTCAAAACATACCCACATTAACAGAAACCCACACTGATTGAAATCATATATATCAAAGATTACCTGTACATGAATGTCAGAAAGCATAAAAAGAGAGCATTAAAAGTTATATATTTATTTAAAAACAAATATTTTAAAATTTCTTAAATATTACCAATAAGTTTACAATACTAAATAAATTTAATTCAATATACATAAAATATTATTTTAAAATTATATGTACTTATGAATGTTGAATAAAATAAAATTACATAGTAACATTTGTGAACAAAATTTTCTTATAAGTGACTTAATAATCATCATGAATATGTTTTAGCAGCAAAGAAATTAACTGATATTTAATTAATGCAGACATTTTCAATCATCTTCACAGGCAACCAAAAATTGAACACAGTTGAATAGAACATATAAAATAACAAAAGAAATTAAAACATCTTACTGATTCAGATATATCCAACTAGCACAATCCATCCAAATCTACAGGCACATCTTAAGACTCACATATCTATGGACATTTTTTTCTGTCTCTAATGTCCAGAAATGGGAACTGAGCTCTAAAGCTAAAGTATAAAAATCTGGATCTGTTATTTATGTGCATCCAATTTTAATGATGAATAAATAAAAAAAAAATACATTTTTTTATTTTATTATTATTTTTGGTATTTTTAATTTTGAATACTGTTCTTCATTTCGTCATTTTATACATTCAGTTATATTCAATTTTCATATGCCTGATGATGGTCATTTAATTAATGTGAATGTTTTTTATTGTTAAAATGTATTGGTTAGTTATTTTCTTGTTGCTAAAAAGTTTGTGATGATTATTTATGATTTATATAGCAGTTTAGTATGATTTAATTGGCTTTAAAATATATACAAATTTAAGGAATATATTGCAACATTATAAGTATATTTCAAATATATTAAAAATATATTCAATCCAAACAAATCTTATTTCGTCAAAAAAAATCTAAATCATTAATTTAAAATTAATAAGTTTATGCAATTTTCCTAGATGATATTTTTGACAAAACAATGTTTTCAAAAGTAATTTTGCTTTAAAATTATTATGTATTTTTTGAAGCTACAGATCTCTCAAAGCCTTAATTTTATATAAAACAACAAAATTTTAAATTTATTTTTTCTTTCATTATACTGAAAACTTAATTTCATTTGTATTAGCTAGACAATATCAAATCTGTTTATAATTTCAATTTTAAACAAATTAATAAGATATTTTTTTGAATTTAAATATTAAAAAAATTTGAACAGCAAATTAATCTACAAAGAGATTTAAAAAATTTGAACAACAAATACATTCTTAATTTGGATTTAAAATATGTACTCACAATGACATTTACAGATGGAGCATGATACTGTAATGAACAGAAAAAAAAACACATTAAATTTTAATGAATAAAAAATATTAAATTTATTTTGTAATTGTTTTTACTTCAAATAAATGCAAGTAAATAACATATTTATATACTTAAATTTTTAAATGTGATTGGATATTTAATTTTAGTGATTTATCTCTAAAAAAAATCAGTCTTAAACAATAGAATATCAAAAATAAAAGGAAAAAAAGTACTTTTATTTAACTCTCTATAATATCTGCCAATTCATGATTAATATATTAGATTTGAATAAACTTAAAATTTTATTTTAATTATCTATTATGCTAATTATCAGAAAATCTCTCCTAAAACTTTATAATAATAAAACAAGGAATGGCAGAAAATAAAATTCTATTTTCTAACAAAATTTCACTTAAGCACTTAAAATGAGATTCAAATATGCTTTTTTTAAAACAAAATTACAACTTTCTCTAAAGAAAAAACAAATCTAATAAATAATCAAGGTAGACAACATACATGCTATAAACATACTATATACAAATTATAAACAAATATTAGTGAAACAAATTCCTTCTCTCAGAAAATTAATATGAAATAAACATTTATATATATTTAAGAAATGTCTCTATAGGTCTTCCTCAGACAAGTAGCTTCAGAAATTAAATAGTATAATTTACCTTAATATTGTTAGTTTTTACAAAGAAATTTATTGATAATGAGTATATCTGTCTATAATAAAAGTCTCAAAATACACTCCTTATGCATAAATGAATATTTTTATCAATTCATTTAAAAAAAAATATGTATCTTTTTTTATGAATGTAATGTACTGTATAATATCCACTTTGATTATTTCCTACAATTGCTCAGCTTTCAAGCAAAATCCAAGACATAAATGTACTCATTTATTTTCTAAATAAGTGCATTTAAACTTTCATTGGTTCAATAAAAACAAATATTAGTCCAATGCTCCAATATTGGATTACTGCTTTATTGGACCAATAGAGCAATGTTCATTATAAATGCTTCAATAACAGATGTCTTACAACTCTATAATTGTTGTTATATATTTGTTTATTTTGACAGTAAGAGTAATGTCATAAGTGGCACTTTTATGTTGTTTTTTTTTTCAGTTTTTAATTAAAAAAAATGTCTAAGCTATCCTTTATTATTTACTATCCTCATGTGGCAAAACAATGCAAAAACTTTGGTTTATGTGGAATAATGTTGAATATCCTTTCAAGATGGCAGATAGCTGTAATGAAAAAAAAGCAAACATTGGAAATAAAAGAAAAAGAAATGTTTCTGAATAGAACAATAAAAGAAAACAGATTGAAAAAGCCGGAAAAGTCTGTATTTTCTAAAATGAATTCTATGGTCATCCAAAACACTGCCAAAACCAGTGGGCAGAAAAATATTATATAGCACATAAATATACAAAAAGCTTACACTATAAGTTTCCATGAAATAATGTTCATATTTATTATTATTGAATTTCATTTCTAATTTTATTAAAAACAACTATGAATATTATAATTATTCCAAAGAACAGTATAGACCCAGGGTGGCCAAGCTCCTTGATAGTCCGAGCCATTTTTCAAAATTGAAATTTTTCGTGAGCCGCAATTAGATATGTATTAAAAAGGTATGTAAAAATTCCAGATTACAAATTATATCCGTAGCAAGAGTGATACAAATTGTTTCCTCCAGAGCACAATGTCAACTGTCCATTGCAATGACAGTTTACAAATTCAAAGTTGGTCTGCAGTCGGTCAATAACGGACAATTACACCACTGTTTATGTTCGTTCGCACAGTTTTCGATGAGTCATATCATTCTTAACTTGAACGGAAATGAAATTTATTACAACGTTGCACTTAGTCTTTCATATTTGTTGTTAGTAATTTAAAAGACATTTTGAAACACATACGGAACGATAACAATTTTTTAAAATATAATAACACAAAAATGAAAAGGGAACTCGGGTACATTTATTGAGAGCCACAAATAATTCTTCAAAGAGCCGCATGTTGGCCACCCCTGGTATAGACCAAATTGGCATAGAAATATCATTATTATTTGAACATATCCAAGATGGAAAATATATTAAAGAATTGCAGAACACTATTCAGAAAGTAATTGCTACACACCTAATTGACATATAATTAGGGGTAGCAAAGTAAAGTTATGAGATTTACGCACCAGTACTTATCACCAAATATTTCATACAATTAAAAATAAACATTTATATTACATTTTATCATTTCAGATTCCACAAAGAATGCCAAATCAATATTCAGCAAAAGTATTCAATATTTTAGAAATGTTAAATAACCTTTTACATAGTACAGTTAAAATTATTCTATACTTTACAAAACTTACAGAATGAATGCCTGAAGTGGAAGAACGAGGTTTTGATGAAGCAACATATGCCAAATACTGTATAACTTTTTTTGTATTTTCAGTTTTTCCAGCACCAGATTCTCCTCTGTACAAACATTAATAAAACAAGTTCAAATTACTTGAAGTACTTAAAATTCCATAATATTTTTAAAAGCCACAACTTCAACTCAAAATTTATTATTAAAATTAATAAAAAAAAAAGTTAAAACTAATTTAATAAAACAACAACAGTAGAAATTAATAAATAAATAACACTTCCTTAAAAATAATAAATGCTTTCACTTACGTGCATAAGATTGATTGATCTTCCCTATCTGTAAAAAAAAACAATAGAATATGTAGTATTAATTTGATTTTTATTATTTAAAGAATTTTACATTATTCTCATCATAATTTAAATTATCATTTTAAAAACTCATTCTTTATACTGTATATATAAGCATATAACACTAGTATGCTGATTAAACATGTATGTATATAAGTTTAGTAGAATCATTCAAAATTTATTGTATATACTGTACTAGTTACATGTAAATAACTTAAGCATACAGAATTTACTTTTAATACATCTTAATTATAATAATTTATTATATTAACTTTTTTTTTTATAAAACTTGTTCAAATTTTGATGAAAATTCCAAATTGACAAATATGAATAAATTCACAATGAATTTTTTCTTGTAGACATTACTGGACATAAAATTTTATTCCTGCAACAGATAGATAGTTACATTCTCCATTTAACATCCTTTACAATTCTACAATTTGTCTGCTTGGGCAGTTGGAATTTAAAAGTTTTAGCCTCTGGATGTTGAGTGAACAGACTCAAAAGTACTCAAGGCTAAAGAAACTGGGATGAGAAAAAAATAACAAAGTAATCTTTTTTAAAGAATGATAGAGAGTTACTGCATTTTTATAACTGAAACTTTTGTTAAAATGAAAAAAAAACTTAGTTTATTAAAGTTTTTTTTATAAAAAAACAAGTTTTCTTATTTAATGATTATTATATTACAAGCAGCACAAAGTATATAATGGAAGTTTATCAGTGCAAAATATTCTAAAAATTGAAACTTAAATATTTACTAGAATTTCAGAATTTTGTTTACATATATTCGTAAGCAGAAGAACAGTTTTGTTTTCAAAACTATTCTTCTCTTCTGATATATTAAGCATTTAAGTATTCTGGAATAAGTCAAAATTTCAAATCTAGTAAAGAGATGGAACTTATATTTTTCTTTACTTGTAAATAGCATGTCTAATTTCATAAATTAATAAAATCTACATTATTGTTTCTAGTTTTCAGTTTTAATAACAAATTTATTTGTATATTTAACATCAAATATACAAATAAATTGTTGGAATAATTTTTAAATTAAATTTCCCAATTCACCAAATGAAACTTATATGAATTATCTGAAATTAATTTGTACTTGCTTAAAAATTCTCCTAGTCATGTAAATAAGCAAAATTTCTGAAATAAATATTAAACATAAAACTAATTGAGTACTAATCAAATGTTACAGCTGAATCCTTATCAGATGACTATGAGACTAATTAATTAATCAGATATTAAGAAATCTGGAGTAGAGGTAGGCAGTTAATATACCATCTCATATTAAATAAATTAATTTATTTTTAATTATTGAATTTAATTAATTAATCAGATGTTAAATCTGATTAATTAATTAACCTCTTAATAGCCCAATCAGAATCCAGCTGTAACATTCGACTAGTAATATTTATCAAATTGTAAATCTAATTGTTATTAAGTATTTTATGCAAGAACTAATAGCAATCTGAAAACTATATAAATGAACCAAACTAGAACTATGTTTAGACTAACTAAATGAAATTATATAATTATTAAAAAACAACCATTAAATTCTAGCTGTTTGTTTGTTTATATATACATATGGGTGATTTACTTTATTACATAGGATGGTAATTTATTATATTGATATAAGCAATCTAAAATATCAAATACTTCATTACTTATTTTTAAGTTATAGCTAAATGACAAAAATACACACACAACTGAAATATTAGATCATTATTGTTATTCAAAATAATTTGAACAATCCCGTTTAATTACCTCCTAAAAATTTTTCCTACATCAATAAATAATATGTCCCACTTTCCAAAATAAATAATTCATTAATAATTAAACTATCTATCTGTCTTTCAATAAAATGTAGAACAAAGTCTAAATTTATAAAAATGCAGCAAATATGCTTTTAACACTGATATAACAAAATACAAAAGTAAGTCAAACTCTCTTTTCATTGTTGCTAAGCACATCAAATGAGCTTGTTCATGTTTTTTCTGTTGCAAAATATCTTTACTTTCTGAACACTTTTCTGTATTATCTAGATTTTGTATACCATATCTTCTGCACTCTCAAAAAATTAATAACATGGGTTTGTTTGCTTCTGCTTGACAGACCTTTGTAAATTTTATGATATGGAGCAAAGTTATTTTGAAGTTTGTTTTTAAACTTTGTTCTTTTTTTAGTCAACAAATCTGCATTAAAAAAATAAGATTATAATCACATGGCAAAGTTTATATCATCTCATATGCTTTTTTAGTGTAAACTTGAAAATCCAGAATGTTGTTCTATTATCATTTTCTCAATTGATTCGCTTTACCTTTGATGCCATTTACACCAAATCTGCTTTGCCAGATACTTTTTCTACCAGTAATTCTTGAACATCTCGGTACTCCTTGAACAACTAAACACTTTCCTTTCAAGTGTTACTACTGCACTAGTTCATGGTATAACCATACCATGAACTGACTCTAATCATATATTTTTCCAACACATTTAATGTTGATGGCTTTACTTCTTTGAGTAATAAAGCTATGATTTAAATACTGTTAACAATTGAAAAAAGTTTCCACACATCCATAAAGCAAAATGATTATTGAATTATATTGACTATATTACTATTACTGTTAATAATTAAATGTTAAGTAATTTGGCACCAGCAGTAGGTCTTAGTCACCATCTCTTGCTAAATTCAATAATTATAATTAATATCTTAATAATTTAGGTTCTGGAAGAAAAGAATTGGCCCAAAGTAGGACTCGAACCTACAACTCCGCTTACTGTGCAGTTACATTGCTAGTTACACTACCCAGACTTTAATCAATCTTCACTTCCAGAACTATTAATTTAGATACAATCAACCTTGGTTATTTAGTCATTTCCAACTGGTGCTGTAAGTAACTGAGTATGGTTATATCTAAATTAATAATTCTGGAAGCACAGATTAGATGAAGATCTGGGTAGCATAACTGGCAATGTAACTGCACAATAAGCTAAAGATACAGGTTCAAGATACATAAACAAACAACATGTAAACACAGTAACAGCTTGTTCTGTCTTTATTGTGGTTGAGTATAACACTAAACATTGGTATATGCACCATCTTGTATATACTCCAACACCACAACAACCATAACAGGATTCCTCCACAAAAGCTCAAAAATACTGTTATGTGAGGTTTGTGACAACTTTATACTTATGATACTTCTACTATATTGTAGAAGTATTATAATGGGAGTTACCCATATTAAAAAAAACCCATAATTCAAACATGTAATAGAAACCGATAATACCCGACAAAAATTTAAATACAAAAGTTATAAAATTAGATTTTATACAGTTTTGTATAGTTATTTGAAAATTAGATAGAAAAATGTAAAATATTATCCAAAAGCAAATGAAAGTTTTCAACAAATAATTTATTATAAATTTATTTCAAATATCAGTATTATTTCTTGCAATAAGAAAATGAGATGTAATGAACAGGAAAATGTTCCTAAAAACAATATTCAGGGCATAGTACTTTTAGGAGAGAATGAATTGTTTTTATTGTTAAAATAATTGTACAGTATTTTCATATTCTCATAATATATCATTACATTTAAATACATCGACAGATTTAAAAATCTTATAGAAGACAACTTTAAAAACTATTTAGAAAAAAACTATAAAAATTAAACATTTAAAATTTAATAGTCTGATCTGCTATTAATAAACAAACACTTCAAAAACAAGTGTTCAAACTCCTGTATTTTACTCCAGATGACTGAAGTTTTGCTAATTACACAAAAACATTAGCACAGTTGGTTCTGTTTATTAGGCCTACTTCAATTATATTAATTTAAATAAAATATAACAAAATGAATTAAAATTGAGCAAGAAAACTTATAATAAATAGTACAATAAAAATTAATAATACACCTTTACATGCAATCAATAAAACTTCATAGAGTAAATATATATACTTTTCACAAAATAAAAATGGCAAGAATCTTCAATTATTTGACTTTCAATTAACTTATTTGCTCTTCAAACTAACTAAAGAAATCAATGCACAAAACAAATATTAGAAAATACAAGATCAAGTTACAGGTGTTCACTGGACTATTTCCACTACCAGCAACAAATAAATCAACCAGTAACACACAAACAATTGTGTCCACCTTCTCATATTTAACTTTTACATAAATTTATCTAGTATCTATTAATGTTATATACAGAATTATATTTACAGAGTGATAACACATACATAACTATGCCCAAACTAGTCTAAACACCACACATTAAAATTTACTATTAACAAAAACTTCCAATATGTGTCAATATTTAATCTTAACTAAAAATGTTAATGTATAAAGTCAAAGCTTAAAAACTTATACTAATAATAATCAAAACAAAATGACATGCATCATATACATATATAAAATATAATATAAAAATAATATAAAAAATATAAAAAACAAAACTTTTGATATATTGCTTTTGCACTAAAACACTGCATGACTTTAGTTATCTGAGTTCTAAACTATATATCCATTGAATATATTTAATTAAAATGACAACATAGTCACTACATAGGTTTTTTTCCCTCTGATTGCAGTTTTATTTTTAGGTTAACTAATAATAAATAAATTTATATATAGTTACTATTATTAGGAATGATCAACAGTCTTTGTGTATAATGTTTTATTTGCATTCTGCAAGAGATAAAAACTATCTTATGTAAGGATACAAAAGTTTGGACATCCCTGTATGATCTTGTACAAATAGCATTCATGAAAACATTTAGAAACATGAGATTTGAATGTTCAAAAATGACAGGCACATTAAAGTTCCTGAACTGCATTTGAACAGTGTAGTATCATATGATTTTTCTAGGTGAAAGAATGGAAAGCCTCTCAAACTCATAAGGAAAATGTTTCAGTGTATGATAAGCAATGCATAGACAAAAGAAGTGTTCAGTGGTGGCATAAAGAATTTTAAAATGGG